AACCGATTCTTCCCCCTTACCTCGATAATTTGAACAACTGATGAAACTCCTGCTGACACGATGAATCCTATCTTCCTCTTGCTCCGATTCACCTTGCTCTTCTCCTTCTAATTTCTCTTGATCGTGTTCTTGTTTCTCTTCTCTCCTCTTCTAACGTGTTCTTCTTTCTCCTCTCTCTAATATTCCCCCCAATACCCCTCATCCCAATTCCTTTTTATTCCATTTCCTTTTTATTTTATTACATAATAATAATATTAATAATAATAATAATAATAATAATATTAACAATAATAATAATATTAATAGTAATAATACTATTAATATTACTATTACTCATTTAATTATCATTACCACTAATAATTTTATTATTAGTCTTAAAGTCCAAAATTATTAATTAATTCCAACTTAAGGGCTACACACGATCGCACTCAAACACCCCCACAAAACACGCCGAACTAAAATAACACGGAAAAACGAGATAATTAAAATGGGCGTTACACCTACTCTACCCAGATTTTCGTCATAACCACATGCAAATCTAAGCAAAATAAGATTAAAACTTACGTAAAACAAAGAAGGATCAGAAACTTACGTGGTCGAAGAGAAAAGAATTGTGGCTGGTGAGGCTTAGTCGGTGCTCGTATAACTGTGTTGCGGTGGTAGATAGAGGAGCCGATGACAGCTGAAGAAGAGAGAGAAACAAAAAGTAAAAGTGAACGCTTCCTCCCTCTATTTATATACGAATCAGAAGCACGTGCACGAGCATGCGTGACGTAGGGGCATCATCATAACCCTATCATAACCATCATTACGCATTAAATATGGCGCGTGGTTCAATGCAAGCGTGGAACTCCATCCCTTCAAGTCCCATCAACCGCTGGGCTACCCGCGCGTCGGACACGCGGGAAAATGTTTCAGGTTCCTCGGGCACATGTATCCTCGGGCACCACGAAACGACCCCGTCTCAGTAACAGACGTCGGTTTGGCTATCTTCTCCTTGGGACCACGGGCTGCCCTTAAGTCATCACTCCTATACTCAGGAGCAACGAATTGGGGGGCTCCTATTCCGGACTGGTCCAATGGCTAGTCATGACCCAATACACTTCTACACCCCAGAACGACCCAATAGGCTAAGCCCTCTCGATTAAAGGCAAATGAAAGCATTTTCTATTCTGCCCCTTAGCGGGGGAGGGCTAGCCAGCTAATCCCCAGTTTCAGCTGCCCTTTGTCACATCTTTGTCTGTCACGCCCGGTTTAGTCATCTAGGAACGGCCATGACACCCTTGCCTGCAACCATGCCCCTGCTCAGAGAAACAGTTAGTTCTGAGAACGTCTGTCCGTCTCAACGACTAGTTTCTGACCGTTACCTATTTTTGGGAAGCGAATATCTCGGCCTGAAAATAGAGACCAATGGCCAAGCGCTGGGGGCATTATAAAAACCCTCTCCCTTGAGAGGGTCAAGTATTCAATAATTATCCTAAAAAATGCTTACTTTGTACTCGCCTTTTCATCTCCTGATTCTTACTTTAGTCTTGCAGCATCATTGACGAAGTCTCTGCCTCACTTCAGGTTCTAATCAACCGGAAAAATCATCTCTCTCTCTCTCTCTCTCTCTCTCTCTCTCTCTCTCTCTCTCTCTCTCTCTCTCTCTCTCTCTCTCTCTCTCTCTCTCTCTCTCTCTCTCTCTCTCTCTCTCTCTCTCTCTCTCTCTCTCTCTCTCTCTATATATATATATATATATATATATATATATATATATATATATATATATATATATATATATATATATATATATATATATATATATATATATATATATATATATATATATATATATATATATATATATATATATATATATATATATATATATATATATATATATATATATATATATATATATATATATATATATATATATATATATTATTTTGTTGATTTTTATTTCAGACTCATATTTAGAATAATCATTTTAACTAGAGAAATAAAATAAGATAAACTTCAAAATAAATTTACTTTGCAATATCTCTTAGGGTATGTTTGGTTCAAATGAGGGGGAGGGGAGGGATTTTAATGAAGGGGAGGGGAGGTGAATAATTTTTTTAATCAGATAAGTGTTTTGTTCAAAAGAGGGGAGGAGAGGGATTTTAATTAAAAATGTGTTTGGTTCAGAAGGGGAGGGGAGGGATTTTATTAATAATTTACAATTTTATCCTTATGATCTTATATAAATCATATGATATTAAAATATGAAAAATTATGCGTATTTTTGTTGGTAATAAAATTTTTAATATTGAGTGATTAAAAAAATATTTATTTGTCACATAAAGTTAAAAAATTGAGTACAATTGATTCGACTTATAACTTTCAAACATAAATTAAACTATATGTCAATAACATCGTTTAAATTGTGATTAATCATATAACAAAACAAATATATAAAATAACTTATTATTAAATATTAATGGCTCAAAATATTTAATAAAATGAATGAACAAAAATAAATAAAATGAATAGATTACAATTTGATATAAAAGAAAATATGATAGAATACCTAACAAAATCAAAAGAAAAAAACGAATATAACTAAACATAATTTTTTTAATAAAAAAAAGACAATAATTATGATTTATATTAAATATTGAAATTATAAAATAATTTGAAGGTGGAGAACAATTATAATAAATTGATGGAAACAATCGAGAAAAAACAGTAACACGAAAGAAAACGAATAGTTTTAAAATACTGATTTTAAAATAAGGATATTTTAGTAAATATAATAATTTTTAAATATTAAAATTCATATTTCCTCCTATCTCCTCCAAATCCCCCAATTTAAAGGGAACCAAAAAGTGTGTTTTGGAGGGATTGTGCTCCCCTCCCTTCCTAAAATTTGAACCGAACATATTTAATTAAAATTTTCTCCTCCCCTCCCCTCCATCTACCCCGAACCAAACACACCCTTAGTGTCAAATAATTAATATTGATTCTTATTGCTTTCCAAATGTAAGAATATATTTATATATTTTTCAACTTCTCATTATATTTATTTCATTTTATCACTTTTTTTTCCTTTTTGTTCCTTTTCTCTTTTCCATAAATGAACCACATCAATGATTCATGCTTTCCTTACCTCTTCCCTTTTGAAGTCACATTTTTCATATTTTGTGGAATATTTTAATGAGAATAATTTCTCTTTTGACTTTCATAATTAATCAAAGCTTCATTTATTTGCACTCGCTTTATGACTAAAAGATAGAAAAATCAAAATGTCATTGAATGTTCAAATTTTATTCTTTGGTTGTAGTCACTTTCACTTAACTACATTAATCTCTTTCGATTTAATAGCAACAATTTTACATTTATGATAATATTAAATTATGGAACAACTTTTGTACTACTATAAGATATATAAAATATAAAGATAATTTTTTATTTTTTATTAAAAATATATTCTATCTCTTTTCTATTAATATTTATAATAAAAAAATACAAAAATAATCTTTTGTTCCTATAACAAATTATTTAAAATACAAAAATATTATTTTATTTTCTATGAAGAATTTATTTTCTCTCTCTTTCTCTCATTCTTTTTTTATTAATATTTACAATACAAAAATACAAAAATATCATTTTGTGTTTAATACAAGTTATTTAAAATACTAAAAATATTTTTTTATTTTTTATTTATATTTTTTATTCTTCTCTAATATTATTTACAATACAAAAATATTCTTTTGTCCGTAGTACAAGTTATTTAAAACACAAAAATATCATTTTAATTTCTATTAAAAAATATATTCTGTCTCATTCTCTATAAATATTTACATTTATATGGGTATTGTAGTATATTTTATTTTATTTGTCATGTTTATTGTCCATCAAATGTTGCACAAATAAAAGTTTGTCCAAAAATTTAAAAGTTTGTATTGTGATGTTCCGTACTTATTATTTTGTGAATCAAATGCATCCTATGATTTAATTTCTGACGAAAATATTTATTTATCAACATAAACATGTTGATATTTATAAATCAACAACTTTAATAAAAAAATTATTTTAAAAAAAAGTCAATATAATTAAAGTATTATTTGCTTTCTTTCATTTATACAATTTAACATATGTGAAATTATTAAATAAATTGATTTTAATTTGACAAAGACAGTTTTTTTTTCTTTCCTTTTTTTCATAATCAACATTTCAAACCATGTCCAATTGTCAACCCTTTTCAATTTTTTTTGCCAAATAAAACGTAAGAGCGTTAAGGTTGAACACATAGTCATTAAATAGTCAATTGTACCCTCACTCAACTAGCTTAGTTATTAAGAATCTTATAGTCAATTTTAAAGTCTAATTCAAAGTCATGTCCACAACTCAAATATAAATCAGAAGAAAAATATTATGAAGCAACACTCCAAGAAGAAGGAGTTTGTTTTATTTGCTTCATAAGAGGATTTGTAAGGTGGTCTGGTTTTGTATCAAGCACTTACTCAAGTTTGATCAAAGTTAGGTGAATTCTTCTTCTTTTCTTTAATTTCTTGTTTTTCTCTCTTCAAAAACTATAATGTGATTCATTGGTGCACACAATTGTGACTCCTTCAACGATCGTACACATCAATTGAGATACTATTTATTTATTAAAAGAAATTGAGAGCTTCTTTTAAGAGAGATGTATACATATATGAAGACGAGATTAAAGTATCAAGTTCTTAAATTTTTTTTGAATGAGTGATTGGTGGAGCAAAATCCTTTGTGTGTGAAACTAACTTGATGATCTAAAAAAATTCTTGTTATTTTATTTTACATCAAGTCAGACAATCATCTCTACAATATATTGTCTGATTTAAATTTTTTGTGTTAGCCTTCACGATTTTGTCATTTATAATGTATTATTTTTTTCAGTCATGTGCCTGATTTTAACTTCCACCTTTGACATGTTACATAATAGATCGCGAGTTTTTGAAAAAACACAGAGAAGTACGATAATCTATCACCCAAGCATGTGTGATCATGAACAAGACCCAAGCGAGTTTGATCTCGAGTACCAACAAATTGAAAACTCAGACTCATTTGATCTTCAATATTTACTACTTGAACACTCTGATAGGTTTGATCTTCAACTCAAACACTCAGATACGGTTGATCTTCAACCACAACAACAACAAGTGCAACATCAAAATTTGCTTGATTCTCCTCAACAACAACAGCAACAACAACAATTTCTAGACTTGTCAACCAACAACGCGTCTTCATCAAGTGATCAAGGGATTAACCAAAACACAAATTCTAGAAACAAAGTTGTTTCTTATGATGGAGACCAAGATCTCAACCAAGAACAAAAAAATATGAGAACCAATCGGCACTCACATGAACAAATACGAGAAATGGAAAAGTAAGTTCCACAATACCCAAATTCTCTTGTCTTGTTTAATCACTTACTTCGCTTACTCAACATTATTAATGATATGTTCAGGGTTTTCAAGCATTGCCCGCACCCTGATCGAGAAGAAAGGAAAAAGATGAGTCGTGTGCTAGGTCTTGAGCCTATCAAAATCAAGTTTTGGTTCCAAAACAAGCGAAATCAAGATAAGGTAAAGGAGGATCAAAACCTATTAAAATATGAGAACATACATGTATCATGATCAAAATAAAAATAAATTTGTTAATGCAACATATGTAGGTAATGCAAAAACGTCATCAAAATAATCTTTTGAGACAAGAGAATGCAAGGCTTCGTACCGAAAACGAGATGCGTAATGAGGCATTAAAAAACACCAAATGTCTACATTGTGGAGGTCCAGTTTCTATCGGTAAAATGTGCTTTAATCAAAACCAACTTAGAATTGAGAATTCCATATTAAAGGCTGAGGTATATATATTTTTTTCAAATTGCGTAATCTTTAGAATTACTTTTATTTTATTGGTTGAACTGAAAAATTATGTTTTTTGTTTATTCTTATGTCTTATAGATAGAAATGTTGTCGGGTGCTTTAAGAAATAATAGAAATATAGTAGAAAGTGATTCTGATATCACTTCAAGTATGATTGAGGAGTTGTATTATGATGGAAATGATCCATTTGGTTCACTTTCAACTCTTTATTTTGACAAACAAAAGATTATAGAACTTGCTATGGTTTCTATGGAGGAACTCACAAGATTAACTCTAGCTGGAGCTCCTTTATGGATCTCTTCTAATGAGTATGAGATTATAAATGAAGTTGAATACATTAGGGTTTTCCCTAATGTAATAGGTTCAAAACTCGCTGGGTTTATATCTGAATCTTCAAGGGAATCAATGACTGTTCCTATGAATCATATTAATCTCATTGAGACTCTTATGAATGTGGTGAGTAAAAACATACCAAAAATTTTCTTAGATTTCATTGAGTGATTTTTATGTGTATATATAATAATAATGATAATAATAATAATAATAATATAGTTTTCTATTTTGGCAATCATTTTCAGAATCAATGGTCTGCGATGTTTTCTGACATTGTTTCCAAAGCAATGACAATTGAAGTTCTATCACTTGGAGTATCTGGAAACTATGATGGACTAGTACAAGTGGTATGTAAAGTTTTAATATGTTTAATTAAGTTATGTATCCTAATTGAGTGGATATGAAATTAACTTTATTACTTGAACTTTTTATTTTATTTCAGATGTCAGCTGATTTTCAAGTTCCTTCGCCACTTGTTCGTGCTCGTGAAAACTATTTCATTAGATATTGCAAGAAGTATCAAGAAGGAACATGGGTAGTGGTTGATGTTTCCTTGGATCATCTCCGACCAAGTAGCAGTACAACTCCAAGAAGTCAAAGACGACCCTCCGGTTGTTTAATTCAAGCATTACCATACGGTTATTCGAAGGTGTGTTATGTTATACTATTTCACATTGATTAAATTTTTTGTTCCATAAGTATAACATAAAGATAATATATTATAACATTTTATATATTGTAGTTCTATATGCGAGTTTTGTTGGTGTAAACTCTAAATAAAAACATTAACGTCGGTCATGTTTATATGATCATTAGATGATATTTTAACCATTTCAAGTGTTTTTTTCTTCTAGGTTACATGGGTTGAACATGTAGAAGTGGATTACACTACATTATTGTTGAATAGGTTTTACGACTCTTTAATAACTTCAAATCTTGCCTTTGGAGCTAAGCGATGGGTGGCATCACTAGGTAGACAATGTGAACGTCTCGCTTATTCAATGGCCACCAACTTACCAGCACGAGACTACTATGGTACACTTTCTATTTGGGTTTTTGGTGTATTCATTCTCACTTCATTTAATAAATGTGACATAACATATATATGCAAATTTAATTCAGTGTTGAACAGTTTTCAAGGAAGGAGGATCTTACTGAATTTGGCAGAAAGAATGAAATTGTGCTTTTCATCTGTTGTTGGTTCTTCCATAGCAAGTTGTTGGAATATTCTAACATCAGATTCTGATGATGTAAGAGTCATGTCCAAAACAAACACCGAACCTGGATCACCTCTTGGTGTAATTCTTAATGGTGCAACTTCTCTTTGGCTTCCAGTTCTTCCAAGAAAACTGTTTGATTTTCTTGGAAATCAAAACTCAAGAAATGAGGTAATGTATGATTAACACATTCATCATAGTTTGTAGCATTGATACCTCTGGAAAAAAGTATGTCTATGTCAATGTCGATGTCACTATCCGAAACTGACACAAACACTTGTGATTATGTTTAATTTATTAATTTATTTTTCAAATTATTAGTGTTATCAACGTGTCAGTGTCGTACTTCTGATGTTAGTTTTCAATAGATCATAGTTGCATCATTTTACTATAGATATTATTCTTTCTTTAAACTTAAAACATATCATTGAACTTTACAGTGGAATATTCTTTCCATTGGGAGTATAACTAAAGAAATGGCACAAATACGACATGGTCATGATCTTGGAAACTGTGTCTCTTTATTTCATGCCAATGTAAGTAATTGATTTATCACATTTTTATCAAATCTAGTATGAAACATTATAGTTAGTTAACTAACTGATAATTAACCTAACATTCATTTTGGTAAATGTGAATTAATTGCAGAGTCAAAACTCCATGCAAAATAATAATATGTTTATACTTCAAGACAATAGTATTGATAGAGCTTGCTCACATGTAATATATGCTCCTATTGATATCAAGTCAATGGAAGTAGTATTCAATGGCGGAGATCCGAATATTATTGCTTTGTTTCCTTCTGGTTTTGTTATTCTTCCAGATGGGGTTCAACTCAACAATGAAAGACCATTGGTGAATTCTATTGGATGCGGAGGTTGTTTGTTAACAATTTCATTTCAGATTTTGGTTGGTTTGAATCCAGAATTAAGATTAGAAAATGGTTGGGTTGAAGCTGTTGTGAATTTGGTTAAAAACACAGCTGAAAGAATCAAGGTTGCAATGACATGAAACAAAAGGATCTTGGGTTTGAGAATTGAGTTTGTTAAATGAATATGAAATTCTATATGTTTCATGAAACTTTTGTGAGCTTTTTTATGTTATTGTGTTGTGGAGTTCATGAAAATCTATAATATTTTGTTGTGTGCTTTTTATGTGGTGGTAGATTTCATTTCACCTTACTTGTTTTTGTTTTGAAGAGTTTCTTCACAGTTTTTAGTATAAAATAAATTGTATAATGATAAGATATAAAAGAATATATAATTTTACTAAAAATAATTTGATCCACATTGAATCGAACAATTTATATTTAACACCCCATAATTATTTAAATAGTATTTGTTGATAAATTTAAAAACCTCACCTAAATCAAGATAAAAATGCCAAATGATATTAATTTATTTTCACACAAAAGAGACGTAAGAGTTTTTATAAATAGTGGATTGAAGAGTTGCTCACTATTTAGAGTAAATCATTTTAGATCAAACTGCATAAATAATTTATGTGTGTTGATTATGTTTTTTTGTTGTATTCTTGACATTGTGAACTTGCTTGCACTTAGGTTGGTAAGTTAATTTTTATTTGAGATTGTTTAGTGGGGTTGCTTCTATTATTTATATCACCCGTTATATATTTTAGTGAGTTTCATCTTCATTCTGCAACACCTTGGTTTTTACTTATTATACAAAAAGATTTGTTGTCCATGTGTTTTTTCATGTAGATATCATCTTTATGTTACTACTATTTTATGCATATTATTTTAGATGACATATTTTTAATATGTTTGATATAGAATATGATTACTAATTAAAAATTTCCTTTGCAATATGTGTGAGAAATATGATTAATAAGTTCTTTGCTTTGGCATCCTTATCCCAAAGTTTCTCGTTCTATTTTTTTACTTTGAAGAGTTTCTTCACAATTTTTAGTATAAAATAAATTGTATAGCAATTTTTCTTCACAACTTTATTTTTTCTATGGCATCTCTTCCAGTTCAAGAACAAATTCTTCCTCTTTTTGGAATAGTTTGGGCCTTATCTAAGATATTGGTCTTCTCCAATGAGCTTCTGCAAGATAGACTTTCGACCAGAGGTAACTTGTTTAGAAGAAGGTTATTTTTATGATCATATTTTCCTCTCATATCCCTTATGTGGATTTTTTTTATTATCATAGTTGTATCTTGAAAAGGTGAGACAGACTCTCACCTTTTTGTTACTTATGAGTTAGCTTCGTTGATTTGGTATAATATTTTTAGGTGGTTGGGATGGCATATAGTTATTCATCAGGATCCTATGGTGTTATTTGAGTCTTTTATTTTTTTAGGGAGTAGGGCTAAGTTTAAGAGTGGTTAAATTGTGGTTTGGCATAATGTAGTATGGTATCTAGAAATGTTGCTATTTTTTATGGTCACTAAAACATCAAGAGAGGTGGAGGAGAAGAGCATTATTTTAGCTTGAAAATGGTCTTTGAGTAAATCTAGGGTGGACTCTTGCACCTTCTCAGATTATCTTCAAAATCCTATCTTCTAGTTGCACCTATAGTAAATCGAGTGTTTCCATTGTTTCATAATGTGCTGGTCGATCTTTTGTTATTATTTTGATAGGATCGGATATGTTGGTAGTGAATCTGGTTGATTTGAGATCTAAAATGTCATATAAAGGTGGTTCTTTTGTAGTTGTGGTCAGCTCCTGAGTGGTCATAACTTTATTTGCTCACATGGGTTATTCTTGTAGTTTTGTTTATATTTTTTATATTGTATCTTTTTTGTTGTTGCTATTTCCGGCATTTCTTGTGCTTTATAAATTCTTTGTTGTATGGTGTTGGTTTTCCCTTTTATAATATATTATATATTACAATCAAAAAAATATGTCAATAGGTGGTTTTGTGATAGATGGTGTGCTTGGGTGCAGCAAAAATATAGGGTCGTTTCTTGCACCTTCTTAGGTTGGCTTCAGAATCCTATCTTCTACTTGCACATATAGTGAATCAAGTGATTACCTTGTTTCGTAGTGTGGTGGTCGATCTTCTGTTATTCTTTTGATGGGATCTTATTTGTTGGTGGGGCATATGGTTAGTTTGAGATCTAAATTATCAGTAACAAGTAGGACTGATAATGAGCCGAACCAACTCAAAGATAGTTCAGAACTCGGTTCAATAATTAAATCGTTGAACTAGGTTCATGAACCAAATGAGATGAATATGAGAAATATTATAAGTTCGTTAACTAAATGAGTTGAACTTGAACTATACATAGTTCAACTCGCTATGTTCATGAGTCAACTCGATTATAAGAGTAGGTTTAAAGGTTTACTCCAAATCTTAACCCCATGTTGTTTTTTCCGTACTAGTTATGGCAGTACAGTTGACAATTACATTTAGAGTCATCCTTGCTGAAAGCATTATGTCATTTGCTAAAATAACATGTTTAATGAAGATTTCAAGTGGTGTAATCATTTTGTGATGGAAATGTATCAATTTCTAGTAATTTTGTGTGTACTCTTTCATAAAATTTGTAAGGTTCCTAAATATTTAGATGAAATAATGGATTTTGAGACAAATTTAAACTCTAATCGAGTAGTTTTTGAATTAGGCTCTCAAATATATTGTTTGAAAGTTTTGTAGTTTTTGATTCAATAGATTTTTGATATGAAGTTAAATTCCAATATGATAACTTTTATCTTATTTCAATTTAAGAAAATATTAATTTTAAAATTTAAATATATAAAAAAATAGATTTTAAAAAATAGTTTTTATGTCCGTGAAGCAAGTGAAATGAACCTAATGAGATGAACTGAATTGTTCGTGAACTTATAACAAGACGAGTTTGAAAAAATAGTTTTTAGAAACTTGGTAGTCATGGTCAATGGTTTCTTCACTCTAGAAAAATAATTTTTCTTCATTCTTGCTTTTTCTTATGGTTATATGTTTAAGTGGCTTAGTCCTAAGGCCAGCTGAATTGAGTCTTGCCTATGTTTTCAAGGTCGAGTCCTCTGATTTTATGGTCTCCCACTTAGAGTATGCAGATGACACCCTTGTTTTGGGAAAGACTGCAGCGGATAACCTTGGGTTATTAAGATCATCCTCTAGTGCTTTGAGCTTTCCCTAAGTCTTATTTAACTTCTCCAAAAGTAGCCTCCTTGAGGTGAGTGTGACACTATAACTTTTGACTATAGTAAAAGGTTTTTGGTATTGTAAGCAAAAGTATATGCCTTTAAGATATCTCAGTCTTTCAGTTGGAGATAACCCTCGAAAAGAGTCATCTTGGGAGCCTTATATTAGTCTTGTTTCCAATAGACTTGTTTCATTGAGGCACCAGTTTGTGAGAGATAATGGTTCTAATTAAATAAATTTTTACCTTCATCCCCATTTTTTACCTATCTTTATGAAGATGTTGGTTTCAGTTTGGAAGAGGTAAATGATGTTACAAATGAGGTTCCTTTGTGGTGATCAGATGTCAATAAACTAATGTGTAAGGATGATTTGGGTGTTGAAGATATGTGTTTAGTTAATATAGTTCTTCTAGGTAAATGATAATGGCATTTGTTTCATGGTGAGGTTCTTTGTCTAATATTCTTTTTATTAGATATGGATCTCAGGTAGTCTTATTTTTGGTTTAGGGTATGTCTGTAGAATTTAGATCTTTTTTTTGTTGTATGAGATTTTTCATCCTAGGCGACAATTTTGAATAGTTTGTTGATGGTTTACCTAGAAAAGTTGGTCATAAGCATCATACTTTTTGTTAGATATTCCTTGGTTGGGTTATATCCAATTACACTTGTAATATTGCAATTATGGTAGGTTTGACAATCTAATTAAAATTAGATGATATAGATTTTAGGCACTTTATTTTATTAATTTAACTTACTTTAATTTAAATTATATGTCTTGTTTGTTAGACGATAGGCTTCGATCTAGAGGAAGGGTGAATAGATCGCAAATTAAAAATTTTGGGAAAAATTGTTTTGAAAAGTTATATGGCACAACGAAAACAACCCGAATTGAATCTTCTAACCAAACCTTTATCAAAAATCTTGGATATGCGTAAAGAGGTACACAAACGTATGATAATGAACAATAATTGCCCAACAACTATCAATCATAAACAATTGAATGCAAAGATATACGTAGAGCTTATTCCAAATGATCAAAACATACAAAACCATAATAATGTAATTTATTGAACATTTTGTGTGCAATAGATACCGTTTGAAAATTCACTTTATTTTGTTAATCTTAAAAACAAATCAAAATCAAATGGATTATGATTATATAAACAAAACCTATTTCAAAATGTGATCAAAAGTAATTCCCAAAGAATTGATCAAACGAGCAATGAATTTAATAATTTGCAAACATAAAATTAAAAAAAAAGAAAGAAGAGAGAGAGAGAGAGAGAGAGAGAGAGAGAGAGAGAGAGAGAGAGAGAGAGAGAGAGAGAGAGAGAGAGAGAGAGAGAGAGGGAGAGAGTAACAATGATGTGTTTAAGCAGTTCCATAATCGGTCTCGCTATGGGTACATCTACCCTCAATTCAAATTTGAATTCAGATATTATATATCTTACTTTGTGAAAGTGTTTATACAAGAGATGAAGAACTCTAACTTTACAAACCCTAGGTTTGTTGTTGACTCTACAACCTCTAAAACCCTTGATAAAAGATTGATCAAGTAACCAACAATGTCGCTTCAATTCACCAGTTCTCGTTACTACCTTGCAAGATATTCCTTGTCTCAAGATTTTCACTCGGTCGAATTAATTCCAAGTGCACACTTGTTCAACCCAAGATTTACCAACACGATACACCACATCATGCTACTCCCTTGCAAGGAACCCCTTGTCCCAAGGCTTTCACTCGATTAAATCCGAATTGCATTATCTTGTCCAAAACCTTCAAATCCTCAATGATCTTGAAGGAAAACCCTGCTCAATTTTCTTATTTGAAACCATCAAAGAAATCAACCCAATATTCTCGTTACAACAACCTAATTGGACATTATCAAATCTAATCTAGATG